ATTCCATTCCAGTGCCTCTCAGGTAAAGAATTTCTTCCCAATATCCCACTTAAACCTCCTTCCTGCACCCTCAGGATGGGAATTTGGTGACAAATCCCAGCGTCCCAAACCCTCCAGAGTCACCCTCCCGCGTAATCCCAACGGAATTATTGGAATAATGGAAACTGAGGCGCAGCAGGGAGGAGGATTTGGTTTAAAATCAAGGAAGAGCAACAAGAATTCCTTATTCCCAGGAAGGATAAGCCCTCACCTTTCTTCATTTCCTTTTCCTTCTTGAAGATTTTCCCTGTCTCTTCCATGATCATGGCATCGCCCTTCTCGCACAGGCACAGCACGGACGCGCCGGGAGCCGCCGCCTCCACCACGGCCCTCAGCACCCCTGAGATTCCCAAAAAAAACAACATTTCACCAGGTTTTCATCCATTTCAGGGACGCACAGCCCCAAATCCCACACCTCAAACTGTATTCCCGAGGTTCCACGCCCGGGGAAGGCACAAATCCTGGTTTATTTGGGGATTTTTTTTTTTTTTTTTTGGGAAGAGGGAGCGCCACGTTGCCAAATTCCTCCCGGGAGAAGTCAGAGCTCTGGGAACAGGTTTGGGAATGACTGGGAGACATCAAAGGGCACTCCACGAGTCCCTGTTTTCCAAGGAATCCGTGTGCTGGCACAGGGAACGCCCCAGGAAGTTTGGGGAATGCTCCACTCCCAAAAAATATCCATCAGGAATTCCAGGCTGCCTCGTGCCTGGGGGAAAAAAGTGTCCCCAGAGCTTCCTCCACAGCACTGATCCCAAAATATTCTGGGATCCTAAAATATTCTGGGATCATGGAATGGGATTCTTAAAATATTCTGGGATCCTGGAATGGAATCCTAAAATATTCTGGGATTCTGGATCAAAATCCTGGAATGGGATCCCAAAAGAATTTTGGATCCTGGAATGGGATTCCTAAAATATTCTGGGATCCTGGAATGGGTTAGGGTTAGGGAATGGGATCCCAAAATATTCTGGGATCCCAAAACAATTCTGGGATCCTGGACTGGGATCCCAAAATATTCTGGGATCCTGGAATGGAATCCTAAAATATTCTGGGATCCTGGAATGGAATCCTAAAATATTCTGGGATCCTGGAATGGAATCCTAAAATATTCTGGGATTCTGGATTGGGTTAGGGTTAGGGAATGGGATCCCAAAATATTCTGGGATCCCAAAACAATTCTGGGATCCTGGACTGGGATCCCAAAATATTCTGGGATCCTGGAATGGAATCCTAAAATATTCTGGGATCCTGGAATGGAATCCTAAAATATTCTGGGATTCTGGAATGGGTTAGGGTTAGGGTATGGGGTCCCAAAACAATTCTGGGATCCTGGACTGGGATCCCAAAATATTCTGGGATCCTGGAATGGAATCCTAAAATATTCTGGGATCCTGGAACAGGATGCCAAAATATTTTGGGATCTTGGAATGGGATTCCTAAAATATTCTAGGATCCTGGACTGGGACCCCAAAATATTCTAGGATCCTGGACTGGGATCCCAAAACATTCTGGGATCCTGGAATGGGACCCCAAAACATTCCCCCCTTTGTCCCACGGTGCTCAGAATTCCAAGGAATCCTCGGGAGTGCTGTGGCACTGTCACCTGTGCAGGGACTTGACATGCCACCACTTTTCCATGGGAAAGTTGGGAATGTTTCAAAGCAAGGATAACACTGCCGATAAGAGCCGGCGGGACACGGAGGGGGAACAAAACAAACAGGGCCAAAAAAAAAAAAAACCCCAAAAAAAATCCAGATAAAGAGGAAAAACCCTCGGAGCATTCCAAGGGATCAGAGGAACAGGAACATTCCTGGAATCCCTCTCTCTTCCCGATGTTTTTTAGGGAGTTAAGGCACTTTTAATCCCTAAAAACCAACAGCTGGAAGGGTTTTTTTTGCCGGTTTTTTTGGTGTGTTTGCTCTTCCCAACCTGCGTGGAGCTGCCTTTCCCCCCGGGAAGGGAGGCGGCCAAACTTCCAGTCTGCCCAGGAGAGCTCCCTCCCTTCCCGAAGGGAATCCCCGCTCCCGGCCGCCTCCCGGGACACCGGCGCTTCAAAAGAAGCCCTGCAGTCAGCAGGAAGCGGGGTGGGACACCGGGGAGCCCCGCGGAACCGGTCCGGGCGGCTCCCGGAGCCGGGACACCGGGAACGGCGGGGAAAGGGCTTAGAAAATAACCGGGGAAGGAGGGGAGGGGGGCAGAGCCTGCCGGGGTGGGGGCAGCGGCTGGAGCCCCGTTACCGGGACGGGACCCCCGATACCGGGACAGGACCCCCGTCCTGACCGGGACGGGACCCCCGTTACCGGGATGGGACCCCGATCCTGACCGGGACGGGACCCCCGATACCGGGACGGGACCCCGATCCTGACCGGGACGGGACCCCCGATACCGGGACGGGACCCCCGATACGGAGACGGGATCCCCATCCTGACCGGGACGGGACCCCCGATACCGGGTCAGGACCCCCGTTCCCGGGATGGATCCCGTTCCCGGGACAGGACCCCCGATACCGGGATAGGAGCCCCGTTCCCGGGCTGGATCCCGTTCCCGGGATGGGACCCCCAGACCGGTTCGGGTCCCCATTCCCGGGGCAGGACCCCCATTCCCAGAGCCGGACCCCGTTCCCGGGACAGGATCCCGTTCCTGGGACGGAACCCCCAGACCGGTTCGGGTCCCCATTCCCGGGGCTGGATTCCATTCCCAGAGCCGGACCCCATTCCCGGGACAGGATCCCGTTCCTGGGACGGAACCCCCAGACCGGTTCGGGACCCCCTTCCCGGGACAGGACCCCCGGACCGGCTCGGGACCCCATTCCCAGAACCGGAGCCCCATTCCCGGGACAGGATCCCGCTCCCGGGACAGGACCCCCTGCCCGGTTCGGGACCCCCTTCCCAGAACCGGACCCCTCATTTCCAGCCCCGTTCCCATCCAGGCCCCCCCACCTGGGGCTCCCGTCCCGTCGCCGGTGTTCAGCCCCCCCCAACCGGTACCGGAGAGGGAGGGGGGGGGTCACACACGAACAAAAGCGGCACCGGCGGGGTCTGGAGCCCCGGGGGGCGGCAGGCCCGGCCCCGCTCCCCCCGCGCCGCCGGTGCACGTGGGGCGCGGTACCACGTGCCGGCAGCGGCGGCCGCGCGGGGCCGGGCCCCGCCGGGACCGGGTGGGTCCCGCGTACCGGGGGGGGTCACACCGGGACACGGGGGGCCCAGCCCGCTCCCCCCTCACCGCCCCCAGCCCCAAGCAGCGCTCCCCAACCCGCGGGGGCCCAGCCCGGGGGTCTCACACCGGGGGCCGGGGGGGGGTCAGGCCCGGCCGCTCCCCCCTCA